AAATCTTGCCAGCCCAAGCTGGCGGCCCTTGGGTTTGTCCAAGCGTTCTGGTCCTGCAGAGTTCTTCCGTCAGTCACCTCCTTCGGCCCTGATTGTCACATCCCCCAACACTCCTTCACAGGGACTCTAAGCCCCTTCACTGCACAATCAGTATCTGATCATATATTGTCTTATTCTCCAATTACCTCGCTTGTTTGTCTTCTTTTCTAATTAGATGACAGTGTATAGAAGCTCCCTGGGCTCAGTCGAGATTCCAGGCTCTCCTCTTGGTGGTACCACTGAATTACTGGGTGACCTAGGGCAAGTCACTGCCCCATCCTGGGCCTCAGTTTCCTCATAAATCAAATGAGGGGGGTAGGCTATATGATCTCTAAGGTCCCTTCCAGTGATGGCTACGATTATATTCTACAATTAATAGAGGCTTTCAAAGTATGGTTTGGGGACCATCCCTGAGATCCTTTCAGGATATCCATGAGGTCAGAATTATTTTCATAATAATTGATAATTGGGGTTAAGTGACTTGCCCAGGGTCATACAGATAGTAAGTGTCAATGTCAAGTGTTTGGTCTGAGACTTGATTTGAACTCAGGTCCTCCTGACTCCAGGCCAGGGCTCTATCCACTGCGCCACCTAGCTGCCCCTTATTTTCATAATAATATTAAGAAATGACTTGCCTATTAAAATACTCCTCCCTTTTCCAAGTACCTATCTGTGTGAGGTTGAATTGTCTTCATACATTTCAATCAAAATAACAGATCACAACAGACTGAACATAGAAGCAGGTAGGAGAGGCCAGCTGTTTTCTACTGAGTCTGACACTCAAAAGTTTTGCAAATATGTATACAACAAGGCCATGCTTGTCACTAAATTTTATTCTGGAAAATATGGTCATTTTTTATGAAAACATTACTTATGTTAACATGTGATGGGTTTATTCTTGTTACTTTAAAATGAGTGAATATTTTAAAAATACTTAGTTTTAATTTATTAATTTACTTTTAATGAAGCAAATATTGATAGTGTCACACCTAAACAAAACCACGTTAGTGTCCTCAATGATTTTTAAGAGAATAAAGGGATACTGAGACAAAAAAGTTGGAGGACCTCTGTTTTAAGGATTTTTTTTTTAGCTCTAACATTCTTTGTTCTAGGGTTCTTTTTAGTTGTGGAAATGTAAGTTCTAACATTCTATAGCTTGACCTCTGTCCCAGCTCTGACATCTTGTGTTCTAAGGGCCCTCCCAGCTCTGACATCCTGTGTCCTAAGGGCCCTCCCAGCTCAGATATTCTGCATTTTCAGGGCCTTCCCAGCTTTGAAATTCTTTGTAGAGTAATTCAGAAATACAGAAATTCATAGAACAGTAGGGAGGATATATCACAAACACAGAGAATGATACAAGTTGACTATATGAAAGTGTGGCCTTGTGGGTGGTGAGGCAGCCTTGGAATAAGAAAGACCTGGGTTCCAATCCTCCCTCTCATACATACAGGCTGTGTCCCCTGGCCAAGTCATTCAACCTGTTAGTGGGTCCCCCAACTCTAAGATCACGATAATAATAACCAGCGTTGATCTAGCTCTTTAAGGTTTGTCAGGCCTTTCCCATATTATTTCATTTGATCCTCAGAAGGCAGGTACAATTATCTCCATTTTACAGAATAGGGAACTGAGGCACAGAAAAATCAAGTGACTTGCCCAGGGTCACGTAGCTAGGGCCTGAGTCAGGATTCGAACTAAAAGATTCCTTATTCCAAGTATGTGCAAACTTCAGAGCAGGTGCTAACATGCACAGGTAAATGACACTGCTCGTCAAAAGCGCCATACAGAAACAAAATCACAGGTCTGGTTTTTACAGATCTACACATACACACATGTAAGATACACATATGCACACACAATACACACACACGCATGTGCTTCTATACATACATGCACACACGTATATATATTTATAGACATGGACCTATCTACCGTCCAGGGCTAAAATGGAAGTGGAGACTCTCGCTCTAGGGCCCTGCTGAGCTCTCACGATCCTCTCATCCTAAGGACCGCCAACACAGATAGGGAGGAGAGCTCTTTATCACTGCATGCAGAGGCCCCCCCCCCCCCCCCCCCGGATTTGCCTCAGCCATGATAACACAGTAGGAAAAACAAAGAGGTTATTATTGAGAAATTCACAGCCAGTGCTAGGAGGGAGGCGCATTGAAAATATTGAGAAATCTTTAGTACTGCAATTTTTCAAAGATGTTTCTCGTGTTCTTTCTTTCTTGCTTTTTTTTTTAAAAATGATTTACCTACCAGTTTGGCCTGGAAAAGGACCTTAGAACACAGATATAAGAGCTGGAAAGAAACTGAAATCATAGGAGCAAAGATTTAGAGGTGAAGGGTACCTTAGAGGCTATCGAGTATAACCCCCTCATTTTTCAGATGAAGAAACTGAGGTACAGAGCAGATCAGTGATTTGCCTGGGGATGTACAACTAGTAAGTGTCTGAGATAGGATTTGAATCCAGATCTGCTTGAACTCTGGTCCAGTTCCCTATCCATTATGCTCTTAAGAAATTAGAATGTCAAAAATGAAAGAGAAACATAGAATGTCGGAGATAGCAAGGCTCTTAGAACAGAGAATATCAGAATTGGAGGGATCATTAGAACACAGGATGTCAGAGCTGGGAGGGCCCTTAGAACACGGAATGTCAGAGCTGGGAGGGCCCTTAGAACACAGGATGTTAGGGTTGGGAGGGCCCTTAGAACACAGAATGTCAGAGCTGGGAGGGCCCATAGAACACAAGATGTTAGGGTTGGGAGGGCCCCTACAACAGAGGATGTCAGAGCTGGGAGGGCCCTTAGAACACAGAATGTCAGAGCTGGGAGGGCCCGTAGAACACAGAATGTCAGAGCTGGGAGGGCCCATAGAACACAAGATGTTAGGGTTGGGAGGGCCCCTACAACAGAGGATGTCAGAGCTGGGAGGGCCCTTAGAACACAGATGTCAGAGCTGGGAGGGCCCTAGAACAAGGATGTTAGGTTGGAGGCCCTTAGAACACAGATGTCTAGAGCTGGGAGGGCCCGTAGAACACAGAATGTCAGAGCTGGGAGGGCCCATAGAACACAAGATGTTAGGGTTGGGAGGGCCCCTACAACAGAGGATGTCAGAGCTGGGAGGGCCCTTAGAACACAGAATGTCAGAGCTGGGAGGGCCCGTAGAACACAGGATGTTAGGGTTGGGAGGGCCCCTAGAACAGAGGATGTCAGAGCTGGGAGGGCCCTTAGAACACAGGATGCTAGGTTTGGGAGGGCCCTTAGAACACAGAATATCAGACCGTATAATTTCAGAGCTGCCCAAATAATCTTAAAGCCTCAGACTGAGTCTCTGTGTGGCCTTTAATATAAAACACAAAGTCCTCGTGTTGATCCAAGGCCTCTTCCAGTGCGTCTCACCATTAGGCCTCCATCCAATAATCATTACAGAGGCCTGACTTTGGAAAGGCTTTCCTGGCTGAATAGTAGTGCCAAAACAAACAAATACACAAAATTTTAAAAAGGAAGGAAAGGAAAGAAAGAGAGAAAGAAGGAAAGAATGAAAGAAAAGAGAGTGAATGAAAAATTAAGAACTAGATACAGGAGAGCAGAAGGGAATTCAGAAGGGCACGCAGAAAAGCCTGGCGATTTTGTTACTACTTTGTCAAATTTAATATACATTTAAAAACTGTAACAGAAGCTCATCTCATACACAACCCTCTTTTTCTAGTCTTTGTATATTGAAATGTTCCTGTTTGTTAAATCCATAAGAACATTTAAAAAAGAAAATGTGTCCTTCTGCTGGCAGATTCTTCCTGGTACACGACATTGTGTCCCTGCCTCTACTATTCACACAGGCTTCCTGGAGACTGCATTCCCTCTGCCCACTCTTCTTTCGAGGCTGAGCTTAGCTGCTGCTTCCTACAGGAAGCCTTCCCTGATCCTCCAGGTGAAGGTGTTCTTTCCTTTGCTCAAACCATTTATTTATCATCTTGTCCAGCAGAAGGTAAGCTCTTTGAGGGCAGGGGCAGCTTCCTTTGTGTTCTGGTATCCTTGCAGCCTCATTCAGCACTTAGTAAAGGCTAGAAAACAGTCTCTCTCAAAAACGGGCAAATTGGAATGGGAGAAAGGGCAGTGCTCCAGGGCTGGACAGCCTTTGTAGGCCCTGCTGCCAGTCTCAGTCTGGCAATCCCTTCTCTCCCCTTCCAGATGTCCCTTAGCTCTTCTCGGAAAGGTCAGATCTGGTGCATGTACCTCTTTTTTCAGTCAAAGCCTCCAGGACAGCACCAGCTCAAGGCAGAGAGAGCCCTTCCCACACCCTTCTACTTAAGCAGGAAAGGGCAAACTGTGAGAAATAATTCATTTGGACCCCTACTCAATTCCAATCAGTTTGATATTCTACATAAATCATATTGGGATAGATAGGTTCTTATAGACACCCTCAAACTTTAATGCAACGTTCACTACTTGCTAACCAAGTTATGAGGCTCACTTGTGCCATCATGAGAATGCTGACAAAGATATCTCCATCCTGTTTTACTCAAATTCCGTGTCCAAACTCAGCATGGGTGGGATGCCTTGATGCTTTGGAAAGTCCCCCAATTTATTTTTGTACGACTGGACCATTCTCTCTTGTCCAATATGAGCAGGTGACCATCTTGTGACCACTTAGTGGAGATGCTCCATGCTTCACCCATCCTGTGGCCCCCATGCTGATATGTCATTTTTGGCTCTTAAGAACAAGGTCTATCAACCAATGCGATTCTGTATTTTGCCATGCCTCTTTTGCATATTTGGGTATCAAACTCTATAAATACAAGGTACTGGAAGAAAGGTGAATCTCAGATCGTGAGGAAGATCTGAGATTCACTTTATCAGAGGAGACCATGCACCCTTTAATAAAGTGCCATTGGCTCGGAGCTCTGCCTTAGTCTCTCTTATTGTAGGTTGCATAATTTTAATCCCCACAAAACCCACACTTACCACTGAGGACAAGTCCATATTGACCATCTTCTTGTCATCCAGGGTGATAGGCTGGAGCCCGGCCACTTTGAGCTGCACAGAGGATGTCCGGTACACAAAACTCAGCAGCCAGTCTCCCCTGGGAGGGGAATAAGTGAAAGTCAAGTCACCATCTGGTGGAGATCCCACCAACTCAACTCAAGTCAATTCAGTTTAATTCAACAATTTTTCTTGGCTTCTTGTGAAAATACATTTTTATTGCTATCTCTTATTTTTGCATATCTTACATTTCCAAATGTTTTCCTCCCCCTCCCAGAAAGCCATTCTTTATAACAAAGAATTAAAAAGGGAAGGAAAAAAAAAAATAACAGTTCAGTTAAAACAAATAATCTGTCTAAAAAGGTCTGACGTTATAGTCAGTGTTCTAAGGCCCTCCCAGCTCTGACATTCTATGTTCTGCCAGCTCTGACATCCTGTGTCCTAAGGGCTCTCCCACCTCTGACATCCTGTATTCTAAGGGTCCTCCCAGCTCTGACATCCTGGGTTCCAAGGGCCCTCCCAGCTCTGACACTCTGTGTTCTAAGGGCCCTCCCAGCTCTGACATCCTGTGTTCTAAGGGCCCTCCCAGCTCTGACATCCTGTGTTCTAAGGGCCCTCCCAGCTCTGACATCCTGTGTTCTAAGGGCCCTCCCAGCTCTGACATCCTGTGTTCTAAGGGCTCTCCTTGCTCTGACATTAAGTGCCCACTACGTTTGAGGCCTTGTTCTTATTGTTGGGGACACAAAGAGGAAACACTGGCATAGTTTCCCATGCTTGTAGTCTTTAATGGGGCAGAATTGGCAGGAGGGAGATATAACAAGAGCACAAATAGGGGGCAGCTAGGTGGCACAGTGGATAGAGCACCAGCCCTGTAATCAGGAGGACCTGAGTTCAAATCCAGCCTCAGACCAAATACTTGACCCTTACTAGCTGTGTGACCTTGGGCAAGTCACTTAACCCCAATTGCCTTAAAAGAAAAAAGAAGAGCACAAATAACTGGACTATGGTAAGCAGGATCACACCAGAAAGAATTTCATAATTAAGTCTCAAAAAAAAAAGTTTAAATGATACATTTTAAAGTTTAATCTGTGGCATTAATATTTTCTCCATTACTTTCTTAAGTCTAGACAACCAATGAAACAAAATCAAGCTGGTTCCAGCATACTCTTGGACAAGGCCAAGATATGCACGAGGTGTTGGAAAAAATCTGATGAAGGAGAGATTCCTTTTAATTTGGGAAACTGGGGCAGGATCTGTGGAGGTTGTCTTCCTCTGACCTCTCAGCTGCCAGCATTTTCCCCTCTGAGACTGCCTGTACCTACTCTATATATCTTGTACATACCTAGTTATTTGCAAATATTGTCTTCTCCATTAGAATATAAGCTCCTTGAGGGCAGGGTTTTTTTTTTCCTTTTGTGGTATTCCTAGCACTTAGCATGGTGTTTGGCGTGTAGTGCCGTTGCTTGTCCTTTGTTTTTAAAGAAGACCAACGGTGTCATGGAACATCAACAGATGAGGAAACTGAGGCCTGGGAGGGAAGGTAACTTGGCCAGAGTCACAAAGGAAGTTAGAGGTAGAGCTGAGGATGAACATACAACCCCTCATTTCATAGAAAAGAAACAAGACCCAAAGAGGCAGCAGGACTTGGTAAAAGTCTCATAGAGAGGCAGGGGAGACAGAGAAAATTCTTGGTTAGTACCATCCTGACCCTGTGATCTCTAAGCTTTAAGGAAAAAAGATGATCTCTCTCTTTCTTTCTCTCTTTCTCCCTTCTCTCTCTCCTCTATTTCTCATCTTTCCCCTCTTCTCTGTCTCTCTCCCTTCCTTTCTCTCTCCTTCCTCCTTCCTTCCCTCCTGCCTGTTTCTCCCCTCCCTCTCCTTTTCTCCCTTTTAAAATTTTTTCTTTTCCCCCTTTCTCTCCCTCTCCCTTCCCTCCACTCCCTCTCCTCTTTATGTTTCACCCCCCTCCTCTCTCTCTGTCTCTCCCCAACAGTCTCTCTCTGTTTCTGTCTGGACTATGCCCCTGCCATGTATTTTTCAGCATATTCAAGCTGTGAAACTCTTAGAAGACTTTGATGTTATCAAATTCAGTATCTCCAGGGTGCTGAATGGAAGTACAATTACTTTGCCACACGTCAAGAAACCTCATTCTCCCACACTAATTCAGTTATTCGAAGGAATGGCTAATTGGGGGTTTTTTAGAGGCTGAGGGAAGAGATAGCAAGGCAGCTCTGGCCCCCAGTAATGGGTCAAAAAGAAAAGTATGTGATTGTTCCTTTTTCTATCCTCTGTTAATAGTCCACAAAGGCCGGCTCTACACTCAGGGCAAAGCCCACCGGTGTTCATTCAAATGACTTGAAAGTAAAATTGAATTTTCATCATGGCAGCTGTTTCTCTCCACAGAGCTTCCGAGGAGGCTCCAATCCCAGGGTCTACCCAGCAGGGTAAGGGACTGGCTTTATCTCTACCCTCTCTAACTCTGGGGAAGAGCCTGCTCATGTGATATCTGAATCTCAGAGTCCTGTGTCTGGAAGGGAACTTGTTTAACACAGAATATAGTGTTAGAGCAAGAGGCAACTTTGGGACATAGAACATCAAAGAGGAAAGGGCCCTTACAGTACAGAGCCAGAGATGAAAGAGGCCTTAGAACAGAGAATGTCAGAGCAAGGAGGGCCTTAGAACAGAGAATGTCAGAAGGGGGGCAGCATAGAACACAGAGTGTCAGAGTTGGAGGGCCCTTAGAACACAGAATGTCAGAGCTAGAAGTGACAGTTAGGTAACGAGAAGGATAGAGCATTAGACTTGAAATAAAAACCCCCCAAATTCCCATACTCCATCAGACACTTAGTCGCTGGGTAACCCTGGACAATTTTTTTCTTCTCAAGTTTCCTCCTAAGTAGAAAGGAGATAACAATAGAACCTACCCTGCGGGGTTGTTGCGAGCTAAGATTCTAGTGAGCACATGTGCAAAAACCCTTTGCAAAGCTGAAGGCATGACAGACGTGCCAGCTCTGACATTCTGTGCTATAGGTGTCCCCTCAGCAATTTTAATTTGAGCCACATCTGTGACCTTAAGGTCAAACCAAGGAGGTTGGGGCCTATATTTCCATTTCTTGGTTAGTCTAAATCATGGTTAATTTTTTTTTTATAAATAGGATAATAAGAGACCTAAATTCATAAAAGATATGAAAACCACCCTTTCTCAAACCTTGCTTTTGACAAAATAGATGTTTTCAATAAAGCTGTGCTTTCCTTCGGAGTGTAAAATTTTAATTGCTTATTTTTATTTTATTTTTCTTTTAGAGTTTGTGAAATATAAAAAAACAAACAAAAGACAACCCACCCCCAATTATGTGAGCAATAGCATACTTCAAGGGAGCTTCATTTCCGGGGGGAAACCCTCCTGGAAGGGAGAGAGACATCTTCATTCATTCATTCCCAGCACCCAAGGCTTCACGATCCCCTGCTGCCTCTCTCTGCTGGTGCACCGTCGCTGTGCTGTCGTTCATTTGCGTATACGCAGGATAGCATCACTCTCTTCCCTGCCCACCCCCCCATCAGGGTTAAGTGACTTGCCCAGTGTCACACAGCTAGTATCTGAGGCCGAATTTGAACTCGGATCCTCCCGACTCCAGGGCCAGTGCTCTGTGCGGTGGCGCCACCTAGCGGCCCTGATAGCATCACTCTTAAATACAGTCTCCCCCTTTGTGTGGTCAGGCTCATTGACTACCATCCACGGTACCTATCAGGGCAGGGACTCAGAATCACAGTGCTGAAGTGAGCATCTAGTGAAACCTAGAACTAGATAAGAACTCCCTTTATTAACTACCAGAGAAGCCATCATCTTATCTGGGTTTTGCTGGAAGACCCTCGGTGAAGGGGTACTCATCACTGCCCAGGGCAGACCATTCCGTTCTGGGTGGCACACAGCAGGCACTTAATAAATGTTTACTGATTGATTGTCCCTTTTCGAGATTTCCTCTCCACCCCCTGCCCCTCTCCACTTCTCCTTGTCTTATTCTCCAGGGCCCCAAACAAGGCTCATTCCTCTTCACACACTTAAACACTGCTATGATGTCCTTCCTGAAAAAGTCCCCTTTTTTCTAGGCTACACATCCCTTGTTCCTCCATACCATCCCCCTAAGCAACAGACTCCAGGCCTTTCACCATCCGGGTCAGCCTCCTCTGCTCCATGTCTAGATCAGCGGTTCTCAGAGTATGGTCTGGGGCCTCCTGAGAGACTCAAAGACCCTTTCAGGGGGTCCTTAGAATCAAAACTATTTTCATGAAACTCCTGACATTTTAACTTCTAATCCGGTAAATATCAAGAGATATAACCCATATAAACAAAAGTTCTTTGGGGACAGCTTCAATAATTTTTAAGTATAAGGGGGTCCTGACCCCCCAAGTTTGAGAACTGTTGCTCTAGCTTATCACCATCTATCCTAAAATGTGGCACCTAGAACAGAAGACGATACTCCCTGGGTGGCCTGACAGGGCAGAGGACAGATGGGCTATTGCTTCCTTATTTCTCTCTAAATGTAGTCCCAAATCCCATGAGCATTTCTGGCTCCCACGGGACCTGACTGATTCCAACTAGCTTGCAGTCTACTCAGATGCCCAGATCCTTTTCAGATGACCTAAGTTCTCCCACCTTGGACCACTCTGAGGCTGGTTTTTTGAACCCAAGTTTCAAGATGACCCATGAGGGTTCCCTGAACCAAGTCAAGCCAGGTGGTGCTCATCCCACAGTGAAACAAACACTTTTAGACACACCTAGAGTAGCCATTGATGATCCTCCCGGACACCACCTTCCTGAGTGGCTTCCAGTACTTGGCTTCCCCTTCCACGGGTGCTCCGAGAAGGATAACGTCCTCGATGATCCCTTGGCAATCTGAGGGCAGGAAACATTATGTCACAGTTGGACATCCACTTATTTTATAGATGAAGCTTAGAGAGAAGAAATTAACCTTGGCCAAGGTCACACAGCTAATGAGTGGCACAGTGAGGATGCAAACCTAGGTCTGAGTCTTAGGTACAGTAGGATATTTCTTCTTCTTTCTGGAAGAAACTGAGGCAAGCAAGGTTAAGTGACTTGCCCAGGGTCACACAGCTAGTAAGTGTCTGAGGCCGCATTTGAACTCAGGTCTTCCTGGCTCCAGGACCAGTGCTCTATCCAGTGTGCCACCTAGCTGCCCCTTGTCCTGGCTTGGCTCTGGGAGTTTTCTCTGGCTGTCCCCCATGCCTAGAATGCTCTCTCTTCATCTCTACCTCCCCGCTTCCCTGGCTTCCATCAAGTCCCAGCTAAAATACCATCTTCTACAGGAAGCCTTTCCCAGCCTGTCTCTATTCTAGTGCCTTCCCTCAGTTAATCATCTCCAATTTGACCTGTATACAACTTGTTTGTACATAGCTCTTTGCAAACTGTCTCTCCCACAGACCATGAGTTTCTTGAGAGCAGGGACTGTCTTTTGTCTTTCTCTGTATCCCTAGTGCTTGGTGTTTAAAACACATTTATTGACTTATTGTCCCAAGGTCCTTTCCAGGTCTAAATTTTATGATACTAGGATCTCTTTTTTTTTTAAATTTCATTTTATTTTTTTTTTTTGCATTCTTTTTTTTTCTTCCAATTTTCAGTTCCAAATTACTTTACTTTTCTCCCTCCCAACCCTCCCACACTCACTGAGAAGGAAGGAAAAATGATAAATGATGCTAGAATCTTTAGGTGTGCTTTTTAGGTACAATGTGAGGATCAAGTGAGATAATATTTATAAAGCACTTAGCACAGCACCTGGCACACAGTAGGTGCTTAATAAATGTTTGTTCCCTTCCCCAGTTTTAGGCAGGAACTCAACTTTTGGATGTTATGAATCTCTTTGGCAGTACTTGGAGCCTTTTCTCAGAATCAGCACAGCTCACTCAGTTAATTCAGCAAACACTGAATGCTTACTGTATGCAGAGCACTGAGGCATAAATAAGAAAAGATCCCTGGCCTCAGGCTCACAGGGAAGGAGGACAAGCATTTATTAAGCACCTACTGTGTGCTGGGCAGATTTCCACTGGGGAAGAGGGAAAGTTGCAGGTGGAGGCTCGTTGGGACACCTCCCTCTTCAGAATTGACAAACAAGCCATGGGGACTTAGAGCCTTCAAATGGAAGATACTACACTTAGCTGATCATCAAACCTCCATGACCTTTCCAGGCCCTGGGCCATTTAATTTTGTGCTGGATTCCTTATGAAAGCCCCAGGAATTGAGCTCAAGGAGATCAAAGAGATGGTTCAGAACAGAAAGGAAGCTTTGTAAGGGACCATCAGACAGCAGCACCAGGACATCGGCAGAAAGCAATGACCCCTCCCTTGATGCTGGGCCACTGTCCCCTGCCCCGCTTTGTGGACTTTTCTACAGTGTTTCCTCCTCCACCCGACCCCCCTCCAAGCCGGGGCTTCAGGCAGAGGAAGAATAATGCATGTATAACACGTAATGTTTCTTGGTAGAATGCAGTGGTTTCTATGCTAACCTGGGAGCCTGCCTTGAACCGAAGAGTTCCCATGAAAACCAAAGCACAAAAGCTTTCCTATTCCCCAGCCAGGGAAGGGTAGAGGCTGAAGACCATTCAGAGCTGATACTTATTCATGGAACTCCAAATGTCAGTAATCACATAGCGCTTTAAAGGTTTGCACAGGACCTTAGAACATAGGATGTCAGAGCTAGGAAGGCCCTTAGAACACAGGATGCCAGAGCTGGGAGGGACCTTAGAATACAGGATGTCAGAGCTGGGAGGGCCCTTGGAACACAGGATGCCAGAGCTGGGAGGGCCCTTAGAACACAGGTCAGAGCTGGGAGGGCCCTTAGGACACAGGATGTCAGAGCTGGGAGGGCCCTTAGAACACAGAATGTCAGAGCTGGGAGGGCCCTTAGAATACAGGATGTCAGAGCTGGGAGGGCTCCTAGAACACAGAATGTCAGGGCTCCATGTTTCCTTAGAATAAAGAATGTCAGAGCTGGGAGGGCCCTTAGAACACAGAATGTCAGAGCTGGGATGGCCCTTGGAACATAGGATGTCAGAGCTGGGAGGGCTCCTAGAACGTAGAATGTCAGGGCTCCATGGTTCCTTAGAATAAAGAATGTCAGAGCTGGGAGGGCCCTTAGAACACAGGTCAGAGCCGGGAGGGCCCTTAGAATACAGGATGTCAGAGCTGGCAGGGCTCCTAGAACGCAGAATGTCAGGGCTCCATGGTTCCTTAGAATAAAGAATGTCAGAGATGGGAGGGCCCTTAGAACACAGGTCAGAGCTGGTAGGGCCCTTGGAACACAGGATGTCAGAGCTGGGAGGGGCCTTAGAACACAGAGTGTCAGAGTTGGGAGGGCTCCTAGAACACAGAATGTGAGGGCTCCATGGTTCCTTAGAATAAAGAATGTCAGAACTAGAAGATTCTTTAAAACATGAAATGCCCATTTTCCTCCATGACTCAGTTGGAGCACTACCTTCTGGAAGGCTTCACTGCTTCCCTCAGCTGCTAGGCCTTCCATTCCAAAGTTACCTTTTATCTACTTTATGTGTTCTCTGTACACGCCTATATATGTGCACGGTTGTCTTCTCTGTTAGCTCCTTGAGGGCAGGGATCATTTTGCTTTTCTCTTTGTATTCTCTGTACCTCCAGTAGGTGCATAATAAATGCTTGCTTACTTGACTGAATATAAGAGTTTTTGAGCGTAGAATGTTAGAGTTATGTTAGAGGTTCCAGGGGCCCTAGAACAGAGAATGTTAGACTATAGCTAGGTAGAGTTGGAAGGGACCAAGCATTGAAAGGAAACGAGCATTTATTAAGTGCCTACTGTGTGCCATACATTGTGCTAAGTGCTTCACAAATACATTTCATTTGATCCTGACAACCACCCTGGGAGGTGGGTGCTGTTATTATCCCTATTTTACAGCTGGGGAAACTGACACAGATAAAGGTTAAGTTATTTGCCCAGGATCACAGAATCAGTAAATGTCTGAGGCTGGATTTGAACTCAGGTCTTCCAGACTGCAGGCCCTATCCCTAAGGAAGGGATCTTAGAGACCATCAAATAGAATCGCCTTATTTTACAGGTAAGGAAACTGAGGCTGAGACAGTAGAAGAGACCTTCCCAGGGTTACCGAATTAGTAAGTGTCGGAGGTGGGATGGAAGTCGGGCCTTCTTGACTGTAAGTCAGGAATGCCACTCGAAGCAGGTCTCCTAGCCGCTTCTTGCCACCCAACCAGTCCGGCTCTTTTCTTGGATGACACCCTTTCCACCACTTCTCTTGGGTAATTTATCATCTTCGCAGCCCGCCTACGCCTACTGCCAGCATCTCCATCGCCCTTTGGGTGACTCCCAGCTTCAATCCTTCGGAGAATGAAGTGTTTTCTGACTCACAGTCACACAATATTACCTTGAATGTCCTGACAAGATGGGCTTTTGTTTGTGGGAGAAGATTGGGGTCATTAAGAGCTCTTCGCAATTTCCTAAAGGCAATCCCACTGCTCTTTGTTCTTCTGGGTGTGCTTCCTTTCTACACAATGGGTTCTGATGGATGAGCGATCTGGGCTGTCCTCCCAGCTGCACGGCATGACGTGGTCAGCACAAGAGGCAGTCTTCCTCCACTCGTTTTTTACCAATATACTTGTATCATATTACATATTATTGTTATTATTATTATTATTATATAGAGTACTACATATAGTATATATAATACTATATATGGTATATATATAACATAATATTATATGGTAATAATTATATAATTTTTATATAATTATGTAATAATATAGTAATAATTATATAATTATTATATAATATAATTATGTAATAATATAGTAATGATTATGTGATATATAATTATTATATATAATTAAATTATAAAGACATACAACACAATATGTAAATGAATAGGAATAGGAATAGGAACTGAATTTGTGATTTTATTGGTATAGAAAACCCTGAGTGAGGAAACTCTTTTTATCAATATGGGTCAGCACCTTCTCTGCCACTTACAGTGTTACTACTGAGAGGCTAAGTGATCTGCTCAGAAACACTCAGCCAGGATGGTCAGAGACAGGATTTAAACCCAAGTCTTCCTGGCTTTGAGGCCAACTTTCTATCTACCACATCATCTTGCTCTCTATGAGATGAGAAAAAAAGAAAAGAGAGGCAGCGAGGCCTAGTGGATATAAGATCAGCCTTGAAGGAAGACCTGGGTTCAAGTCTTGCCCTTGATAACACCTCCCTCCCCAGTGACTCAGGCCATTTTCTAAGTCCATTGAAGTCACATATCCAGGACCCCCTCCCCACCAAATATATAAATATATATGAAAATATATGAAGTGCTTTGTAAACTTCAATGTGCCATAGGGACGTGAGCCGTTACAATCTGTCTTTTTGGTTGGTTGTCCTTCCTTCTCTCTCTCTCTCTCTCTCTCTCTCTCTCTCTCTCTCTCTCTCTCTTTTTTTTTTTTGCTAAGCAATGGGGTTAAGTGACTTGCCCAGGGTCACATAGCTAGTAAGTGTCGAATGTCTGAGGCTGGATTTGTCGTCCTTCCTTCTCAAAGAAGACCAATGACATCATAAGGAGGCAAAAACTGAGAGCCAGAAGGGACCCCAGAAAGCCAACACTTCAGACCATAATCTCTTCATTTTACAGACAGGTAAACTGAGGCTCCAAGCTGGAGAGTAACTTTATAAGATCATAGATTTACAGCTGGAAGGAGCTTAAAAGTTCACAAAGGCCAACCCCCCCCCCGGGGCCCATTATTTACAGAGGAGGAAACTGAGACCTACAGAGTTTAAATGACTTGCCCACAGTTACACAGCCAGCAAGTATCTGAGGCGGAATTTGAACCCAGGTCTTCCTGCCTCCAAGTTCAGTG